ATATATATATATATATATATATATATATATATATCAACCTTATGTATGTGTTGCTAAATGTGCTGATGGGAGAGAAACAAGTGACTATTCCAGGAAAACCGCTTGTCCGCTGTGATTGGTGGCCATGCTAACTAGCCTTAGCATTCATACTGCTCTGACTGACAGCGCTAAGACCCGCCTCCTGGTTCTGATTGCTTACAGGTAGCACTGGGTCCTCTGGGAGAAGGCAGAGGAGTTAACTGTCTCACACCGTACTGTCACGATAAAGTGACAGTTTCGACACGTGTGTAAAAAATACAGTAACTTTTCTTCTTTTTAAAAAAAATAAAAGTTACATACTGCATTTTTAGGGGAAAATATTGTGGTCGCCAAAGGTGTAAGCAGATGAATTGCTCTGCATTTGTGAAACATAGTACCTAAGGATTAAGAGCCATTTGTTTTACGAGGGGCCCATTATTAAGTCTAAACCAGGTGCACTCCAGTGATGCCTCATTCATTATTCAACGCTCCGTCATTAGTTACCGTTCTTGCGTTCCCAGGAGTACATTCACACATAATGCTTGCTGGGTTTTATGTTGCGCCTCATTTCTTCATGACCACTAAGTTGCTTCCTTTCTGCACAGGCCCCTCTGACAAAACTTTAAGTTATTTGTAATGAACATTTATTCCACTTATAGGGACGGGAGAGGATAATAACGGACTAAATACAAGTTATGCATGTGGGAGTCGAAAGGTTGTTGAAAATGCTAATGTATGTGAACTGTTATTATGGATCATTGTAAAAACAATATAAAAAACAGGAGTTTTAAAGTGTACACATGCTTTTAAATCCCTCCTTTTCACATGTAAATAATTCACTTGGTCTATATAAAGTGGAATCGCAATGAGTTGGTCTGAGTCTCTTGTTCTCATGCCTCCACACCCGTCATTTACTGCTGTTTTAGATCAAACCGTTTTGCTGCAGTTGTTTTTTAATGTGAATGAGACATTTCATGCCCCGCCCCTTTCCACTCCACCCCGTTCGGCTGTTTACCGGCAGAGAAACTTTTCATTCCCAAGATTTTTGTAGATGTCAACATCAGAAGACATGTTCATGTATAACTATAGTGTCCATGTGTGTTATGGTGTTATTACAATGTTATTACAGTATTTACTCCTTCTACATCCATACCAGCTACCTACAGTAGAGAGCATAGTTTAACTGTAGTGTCCATGTATGTCAGATACTTATTAAAATATTAATGCTGCCACACTATGACTGAAGTAAACGAAGCCTTGACATAATGAAAGAGTTGGCTATCTGGAGTGTCCAGAACATCATTGAATGAATTTGGATCATGTGTTCCCCAAGACAAAAAGGTCCAAAATAAAGCCAGATAATTATATTTGAAACACGCAGTACAGAGCTAGCACACAGCGCTAACAGAAGCTGAAGGCTCAATGCTACTGTCAAACCAATGGCCAGGACATCATTATCAGCCACAACATTCATGTCTATAGTAAGCTGTGTTGTCATTGTAGCGTCATTAGGAGCTTACTGCTTTGTGTGAGAAGGAACTCAATCAGACAAAGTCCTTTGGAAAATCCCTCTTGATACTTGTGGAGGCTCCTGAAGCGACGCTCCGAAAAATGACTTTCCCTTCAGATGTGGTTACAATTCTGACAAACAAAATAGTTGCAAGGGGGAAAAAAAACGGGGCAAATTCATAAATTGGAAATCTATGACTTTGTTTAGCAGTTCCACTGCAAATACTGTGACGTAATAGACAAGAAAACGTGATGGGGAACAGAGAGAATGGAACAGACTGAAAAATATAACCCAAAAAGAATACAAACAATTTCTTCAGTCCTAGACACTGAATGTACACACGAAAAAAGTATTTAAGGGCTAAAAAAGTGGATGTGCCCTCTTTAAAGAATAACTTATTGAGGCAAATGATAAAGAGACAGGATGCTTAAGGTCTATTTTTCAAGATGCAGTTTTTTAAAACTGCATCTTTTATTTGTCCACAAGTTTGTCCACAAGTTTGATTGCACATCCACACCTCCCCAAACAAACCAAACTTTTACTGGGCAAACGGACTAGAGATCTATTAAAGCGAACTAAACAAGGCTGGTGTGAATGTACCCTTATTCCGGCACTGGTGTCTACCGGTGTAATTGGAATGACAATGAGATCCCACGGGGGACGTTTTGTCTGTGGCTCCGTCATGTGGGAGCTTGCCTTTTTTGTCAGCTGACTAACGGTCTGTTTGGGTGCAGAACGTTTGGACATATCAGAACAAGCACAGCTATAACAGCATCCTTGAATGAGCGGAAGACGTTTCATTGTAAACTAACTAACAAGGATTCGCGCAACACTCTGGGCTGGAATGCTGTTCTCCCTCTGCAGTGCCTTAATGAAGTCAGGTTTGCCGAGCTGTGCCGCAGTCTTCAGAAGGCATTCATTACAGTACGCCCTCTTTAAGGACAGCGGGGTTAACGAATACAAGCATTCATAGCCACAAGTAATTTCTTCTTGAGTTCAGAGAGCACGATGAAACACTACATCTTAATCAAAGAACAGAGACAATTAGCTTGAATGACTCCATTTAAGGCTGTTCACATTGGGCCTTCTGGTATTGTGCAAAAGAAAAGCTCTGTGAAATTACTTTAATTGAATTCGGTGATTTGCACCTTGGTCGGCCGTGTGATTTGTCAGGATAAAAGATAACTCTTGGTATTGTAAGACTTATAAAGTGGCATGTGAACTAGCAGTCACAGGGTGTGCTACTTAAGGGGACTTTCCTTTGAACAATGGTCTCATTTGTTCACATCTACCACTCTCTACACTAGAGGGCATCCCAGTTATTTCACCGCCATATATAAGCCTCATTCTTGAGCCTCAGAACAACTGTCACTCCTACTAGAATAAATACAATTACTGAATCCCTGCAGCCTGGTCTCTGCTTCAGTAGGCGGGTTGTGGGGAATTCCTGATGTTGGGCATCCATTTTTTTCACACTAATGGGACTGCAATCCCCAGCTTTCAATGCACTGGAGGAATCTATTGCTGCATTTCTGTTACAAATGTGTGCAAATCTTTGTCTACATTCTGCTAATGTTGAATAAACACAGTTTTGCCATTGCAGTGTTATCATTAAATAAGAAATGAAATTAAAATCTCACAATAATAAGCTCATTCACTAGATATGGATAAGCTCCTTATACTTATGAATGGCTACGCATGCGGTGTTTTGCGGCGATTTTACAGAAGAGCTTCAAATGACCCACAACTTTTTATGAATTGATGAACTTTGCGGTACTGTGAGAGCTCACTTCCTGTCGTCTTCTTCAGCGTTTCCAGCAGTAGTAACATCCGGTTGCTGATCACGTGATTCTAAAATCTTTCCATTGCAGTTTTGTGAAATGCATTTATTTTGATATTGCTGATTTTCTGGCTTAATGTCAGCATGAGTTGTATAATCTCATGTTTCAACCTCCTGACCACTCCCTGTGGGATCATAGTTCTATCAACTGTCAAACAGTGGAGCAAAGACTTCAAGGTCAAGACCACCATCCCATCCTGTCACTCATCTCTGCCTGTCATAAGGATGTGTGAAGGACTGACATTTCTGACATGCAGCACAAAACAACCATGTCTAAGAGAGACAGTACTTTTAGCTCTTTAATTGCAGACCAGCTCTGGGTTTTAAATGCTGAGGTCAAGAATGTATCCAATCTGGGTTACTAAGATAGAAGCCAATCTTACTCACAGGTTCCTACTGGTAGTCGCCCACAGATCGACCAAGTCGGTCAGTTATTATCCAACACTTTCTGCTGTTTTAATGGAATGGTTTCCAACACAGTTAATCAAATACCTCACAAATATCTTTGATGATTTATGTAAAAAAAACAACAACAAAAAAACAATAATTATTATTATTGTTCACCTTTTCCTCTGACTGTCCTCTGTCCTTTTACCATAAAGAGACATCTCAACCGTTTGGTAGAGCGTAATATTTAGAAAACTGCTTTTTTTTAATGACTGTTCCTGTTGTGGTTTTCTTGGTAGGTTTGTTAAAGGACTAAACTTTCTCCCAGATTTATAATGGATTGGTTTAGGTGAGAGCACGTTCATTCGGCAACACTTGATGTTCACAAACACTCGTCATCCCATCAAATTGATCCTTTTTCAAAAGAGACTTTCCCAGAATTGTAGCCGGTAGAGGCACACACTAAAAGCAGCAACTGTGATTGCAGCAGAAGTTAACTCTACAGAATCTTGACTCAGCGTGGCAGAATACAAAATGAATTCGTACTTTCTCAGATTTTTATTTGCAAAAGAAGTTTCAATTTGTCATTTTCTTTACAATTCACAATTATGCACCACTTTGTGTCGCACTGTGACAAACGATTCCAAGAAAATAAATTTAAGTTTTTGTCAGGGACACAATAAAATGCAAAAAAAAAAAAAAAAAAAAAAAGGCAGTGTACTGTGAGTTACTGAACCTTTTGAATTTAACTTTGACAGTACTTCTATTCTTTCATGACATGAAACTGGACAACATGCAAAATAAGAAATGAGCAGCAGCTTATACAGTACAACCAGGCTCATTTACATTGATTTAACCATTTTTTTTCCATAGCTTTCGTAGCCACTCTTGGTTATCTGCCCTCGTCAGCTTCCACTGGTGGTACTAATGAAGTTCTAAATCATCATAGGTCACTTCTGGAGCACATTAAGTCACTTCTTTATTCATTAAAAATCCTTTAATGAGTCCCAAATGAGTTGTGTTAAGTAGAGCACAATCTAATCAGAATAACTAATAAGTTTGTATGTTGTGTTGTGGGGTGGCAGTGCTTAGAAGTGTGGAAAAAATCACAATGGAATCTATAACATAATGAGGCAAGTCGCGATGGGGTCACTCTGTGTGGTGGACAATTAAAGTCATAAGCTCAATAAAATTTTTTAAAAAACTCCAGCTATGAACTGTAACTGTACCTGCGTTTAAAACTGATAGGAAATGTTTTTCACTGTTACTTTTGAACTCAGTTATTAGTATTAATCAGTTTCGGCCGGTTCACAGTCACCATGCAGAACTCTTCCTGCTCCATTTCCAACAGTATCATTATTTCAGACTTGATTACATCTTCAGCGAGCCTAATAAATATGTAAATGGTTCACGTGAGACCTTTTAGTTCTCACGTGAAGGTGATGCGGACAGGAAAAGGGATTTTTGATTGCAGCGTCGAACTGTAATCCGTGTCATTATCACCAAAATTGTACAGAAAAATTCCCATTCAGACTTGGTGGTTTCCAGGGTAACCCCAGTTCTCTGAAGCCTTACTGATTTATTTTGATGGAAGAAGTGCTTTGTGTTGTGGCCAATCAGTTATTCATTTTTACAGCAAGTATATGTTAATGTTGCTCCTTTACTATCAGCTGAGATAATTACCAGAGGCTATCGTTAACACGGGTCTGCTGATGAGGACAACACCAGGCTGTTTGGTCAGATTTCATGTCCGTGTTAAAAGGGCCAGTGGCGCACGCTTCCAAAATTATTACTAACCTTTTAAACTTTTCACATTTTGTCAACTTACAACCACAACTTTGTTTTTAGTTTTTTCCAGTAGGTCACCACAATGTAGCACATCAATGGGAAGTGGAAAGAAAAAAAAACAACAACATTATTTTAAATGTTTAGAAAGGGAAAATGAGGCAGGCCTTTACATCAAGTTTAAGTTTGATTTTTTTTTTTAAATTGGTAATGTGTTAATAAACATTTACATGTAAATACATTAGTGGTAAACTTTAATCTCTAGTTTTATTGTAAAACCAAGGATGGAAACCACAAAATAGCACTAAAAATGCATAGAACCATAAAATCCAAACATATTAACATGTAATTAATGTTGATGATGATTTCCAAGAGCCATTTAAAAAAAAAAAAAGATGTTTTCTAGATGAAATGAGAAGTGAAATCTTCCTGATGTTTAAAATGTAACTTTGGCTCTCAGCAGTTTTCCTGAGTGATATTGAACAGTCACTCTACGACCTGCCCTTGTTCGCTCAGTGGTATTCTTTTGAATAAATTGTCGTGATAGAGCTTAGTCATTCATGTTTTTTGGAAGCAGTGATGCGCTTTGGGAGGTTTTTTTGTCCAACACTTTTGGTATCAAAGTATACATTTACGCTTTCAAAAGTTACTATTTTTCTAACAAAATTAATATGATTAAATTGCTTTCTATTCATAACTTTTCATTTGTTGTTTAAAACAAAATTGTGAATTAAACATGACCCCTAAATATTTGAACTGTTGTACTAACTTTAGATTTTTGTCTTTAATAAAAATGGTTGTATCACCTTCAGCATTTACCTTTTCTTGAGAAATACAAACCCGAAGTTTTGAAAAAATTAAGATGTACATGAAATCTCCAGATCCATTCATCACAATTACACATCGCCACTGTCAATTTTTGGCCAGTTTGTTATTTATCCTCTGCTACAGTTACAACATCATCTGCATACATCTGGCAGGTTACACTAATAAATAAGCTAAAAAGCAAAGGTCCCGTACACCGACCCTGTGGTACGCCATACATGTTTTCAACCATCCCCAGTTGCATATTCTGTACCTTAACACTCTGCATTCTACATTGAATACACGACTTATCCATATGTATGCACTTAAAGGAGTTAAAATAGAACAGTTTAGTTAGTGATAATTGATGGTGTCATTCCATAAATCAATAAAGACAGCATCAACAACAACACCTTAATCTAACATTGATAATGTATTTTCTACTAAAATGCATATCACTGTTTCAGTAGAAGGATGTTTTCTAAAACCAAACAGCACTCTCTTTTTCAAATGTTTAATAATTTGCTTTGCAACCAATTCAGCCTGAGTTAATTTGTAGAACCACTTTTCACTTCATTTACAGCTCCAAGTCTTTTGAGGTTTGTCTCCACTAGCTTTGCACATGTACAGGCACCTTCCTTCCAAAATAGCTCGAGCTCAGTTGGTGACAGAGAGCCTCTGTGAACAAATGTTTTCATATCTTCAGATTCTCACTTGGCTTTAGGGCCTCGTTTCACATGCTTGCTGTGTCCCACATATGGCCTGTGGTAAACCATGAACAGGACTTCTTAAAAGGGCAGTATTATGTGAAGTTTGCTATTTTTGAGATTTACATAGATTGTGAACAAACATAAAGTGGCAGTAAATAAGCAATTTGTCAACAGCTGTCAAAAAACAAATGGTAATGATCAAGAGTCCAAGCTAGCTAATCAGCTAGCTATTTTATAGTAACAGTCCCAATTAGCTAGCTATTTGGTAAAAGCTTAATTCACCCAAGAAAAACGTGTTACAATCAACAAATTTTCTTTTTGCTTACTTATTCTTTTTTTTCCCTCCTCCTCATCTTCCTCTTCTTCTCTTTGGTCAAGTCCCATAGATTTCCCCCATTTAAAGTAGGGTTTCTAAGCTGTCCTGGCATTACAACCCAGTATCAACCCTCAATGGCAAGTAACCAATGAGATTTTTCTACTTATTCATTTGCTTTTTTGGCTTTTTTAGCTTTACTGAAAAAAAAGATGATCCCATTTGAACTGGAGGTAGTTCAATAATACCGTTAGATTATGACAATGCAGAAAAACCCCCAAGTTTAGTTATAAATTAAAACCACCACCAAGCTCTGATGCTGAGAGTGAGATATTCCCTTTCACACTCAACTGCATTTTAATCAAAACCAAAATACCACTGAGACGTCTGTCTTTCTATATCAGACTCTGTAGACATTCAATGCACAAACCTGAGATAAAGCAATCAAACTATTGAGACTCATCACATGTAGTTTTAAAAAGACTTAAAAAGACATTGCTTGATCTGAGTACCTCATCACTGAGAATATGACAGAGGCCCATTAAAACTGTTCAGTGGGTGATTCAAATCTGAATCATAAGGCTGACATAACAATAAGGACAAGGTATTTTTAACAGACAGCTTAAAATTGACTTCTTTTGTAAAATTCACATTTTGTATGTTTTTGTACTTTCATTTGTGTTTCTACAGCTAATAAAAAAAAGCCCATTGCTTAAAAAAACAAATTAAAAAAACCACCCAGTCATTTCTTTGCAATAAGTTAAATGTTTTTTGGCGTCCGGAAAACGAGCCATTTCAAAAACCTCGGGAATGTCTCTCACCTAGCAACTCTAGTGAAGCCCAGCATCTTACTTAGCAACCCAAGCGGTGTAAGTCCAACTACAAGTATTTTTGACGAAACACTTGTAAAGAAAGATTTTTCCCACTTGCTGCATTCTTGCTGATTGTACAGGAGGCTCCACTTCTGCTTTTCGATGATGTGTGGTTGCATAATTGCTCATCTGTTTGCACCCATTTCACATGCAAGTGTAAATGTTGAGTTTTGGGACGTGGCCCACAGCAGCTTTGTCCATCGTCCAAATGGACAATTATCTTAAGCATACAACCACGGTGATTACAAAATGGCTTACAGACAACAAAGTTTTTGACTAGGCCTTCACAGAGTCCTGATGTTAGTCCTATTGAGATCTGAAAAGGCCTACCTCAGTTCGGCTGGTTCTGTCAGGCAGAATGGGTCAGAACTCCAGCAAACTCTTGTGAGGTGATGGAAGGAAACCCATAAATGTTTGACACAAGTCATGAACTTCAAAGGCGATGCCAGCAAACACTGAAGAGTCAAAGTAAACTTCCGATATAGAAGACATAAACCGAAAATGTCTCTCACTATTGTGACATTTAGCAGATTGAAATAATTTTAGTAACTAAAACTGACCTAAAATAAGACGTTGCTCTGAGTTCACTTCAGACAGTGATGAAAAAAAGTTGTATGTGTCTTTTTACTTGGTGTATGTAAACGTCTGGTTTCAACTGTATAATATATTTGTTAGGATTGGGTCATCAGACTTTCATCTGTTCATAAACAGCACTGTAAACCGATAAAATGCCAGTTTCAATTGCCCAACTCATATTTTGCCAAAAGTATATATTTGTTTTGCCTAAAATATATTTTGGCTGTTACTTAAGCCAGGAAGGTGTAAATAAGAAAATGAGATGTCACAGGTGATAAATTTGTGACCAACTGCATTGAAAAGGAGACATGAAATCTCAGATCCACGACTTTGTTGCAATTTTGTTACTTCAAACCATTTCTGCTTTTTATTTCCAACAAAAAGCAGAATCAGCCTCTGGTTTCTGTGAGCTTCTATGACACAAACATGTATTAATGTTCCCAACATATCACCTTCACTCATAAATCTCCACTAACTGCCTGTCAAGCCCCGCATCATTTATTAAATCTTTCTTGTCACCGACAAATCCCTCATACTCCAGGCCGCTGGTACTCGCCTGACCCGCTGCACCCAGACACGCAGCTTCACGTTCAGCCATGCATCTTCTTTCTGTCCCTCAAACTAACCATTATGGGGTTTTTTCCCCCCCTTATCTCATTCCAGCCTCGTTCCTTTTATTTCTGAGGAGCCGTCCTATTTAATCTTGCAACAATTGCAGTAGTTTTCGCATCTCTCGAATGTCATTAAGTTTAAATTCTCCCCCATTTACGAGCCGTTATAAATACCCCCTCTTTGAGAGGGTGTTCAGTTTTATTGTTCACAATCAAGAAAAATACATTTTCTCTCTCGCAGCGGAGTCGCTGAGAGGCCGATAAGCACATCTGCTGCGTGGAGCTCATTAAAGAATTATAATCAAAGGTCTTGTAAAAGAAAGTTTTTCTTGAAAAATAATTTTCCATTTTTTTCTCTCACTGTTAAAGAAAAAGAGAGAGAAAAAAAACTATTCCATTAGTTTATTTAGATTTACGGTATAGCATTGAATTGAACTTTATTTTATTTCACTCAAAACATTGAATCTGAGGTGAATTGTGGAGGCGGTTCATTTTTAATGTTTGCGTCAGTAGCACCGTGTTAAAGATCAATCAGTTAATCAGTTTACTCATTCTTTATATGAGCTAATTGTCAGTGAAAAGCAGGTAAAAATGTTAAAGGGTTAATAGAGGAGTGATGTAGTGATGACTTCCTGCAGGTGGAGTGTTGGACAGAGCAACAGCTTCTTAAAGGCGATCCGTTATGCTTCGTTGAACAGGTTAGGATAGATCTATGGGTGATGCAGAACATGTTTTGACTCTTGTCACTTTAAATCCAAATAAGCTGCTGCTGGTCTCGCTCCCCAATTCAGCGCTTACACTCGCACATGAAAATGGCTGCAAACAGATGCAGACCGTACATCTTTGGAAAGAAGTGGAGCCTCCTGTACAACCAGCAAAGAATGCAGCAAGCGCTTGCTTGCTGCAATTGTACCTAACCTAACAATTGTAAAGCTAGCTGACCAAACGCGCCGCAGTCCCGCAAGGTTGCTAGGTGATGGTCAGTGCCTGCTGATTTGTGACGTTCTAGATGTTTTTGGAATGGCTCATTTTCCAGACACCAAAAACTGGCTGGGTGTTTTTTTATTTTATTTTATTTTTTCTTTCGTGCTTGAGGTGTTTGTGGAAGCAGTAAAAACCCAAACTGAAGTACCAAAAACCTACAAAATACAAATTGTGTAAAATATGTCACCTTTATAGAGGTGGAGGCCCCAATTTCAAGGTGTTAAATTACAAAGTCAAATTCCTTTTTAGTCATATTTGATATGTACATGTACAACATTTTATAACAACTTAAGGTAACGTAGTTACTTAATCATGCTATAAAATGACTCCATGTGGCTGGAAAACACGATACTGCCCCTTTAACTCGGAGCGGAGTTGTTTCTGGCAGTAAATGAGAACAGTTAGGTTTGTAAAGTTGAGCTGTAGCTGTCTCTCCTTTCTCAACACCTCCAACTGAAGCCGTTTTCCTCAGCCATCTGTGTATTTCTGTGCTTCCTGCTGTAAGGAGATTTATTCCCGTGTGAGATAACGGTGCATTTACATCTATTTCCCGGCTTTTCCGTCCACTTAAGATGCATTAAGTGAGTCACGCTTTAAATGGGTTTCAGACGTTCTCGCCAGCTCTCGTGCTGCTGCCGCTCTTTCCGTACATATGAAGAGTCTCATGCTCTGGTTTGTATTTTTCTTGCACATCTTGCTTTGTACGACTTCTGGTGATTGGCTGACAGGCTTTGGCAGCAAGGTAAAAAAAAAAAAAAAGACGTTCTCACCTTACAGAAATAAGTCTTTTTATCCAACAGCCCAGCCACCAAGGACACTCCACGGACTCTACATTTGTTCTGTTTCCTGCACTGATGGCAGCGGCATGAAAGGTGAACGCGTTGCGCTCGTGACAATTGCAGAACGTGGCAGATAGGAGTAGGGACTGCTCCCAACGTGAACCCTGAGCATTGGTTTTGAACGGGCAGCCAATCCGTCGCCTGAGAAGAATCACCGACTGTCGGTTTGTACTTGACAGCGTCTCCAGATGGCGGCAGACAAGGGGGCATGGCCGCCTGACCGCATCATTCTGTCCGGTCCTCACCGAGACGATGATGGAGGGAGGGCCTGGGTCTGCAGCGACAGATTGCCAGAGGGAGCAGTGGTCTAAATAAAGCAAAAAAAAAAAAAAACGGATAACAAACCCAAACTCATACTTGTGGCAAACATAGAACAGCTCTGGTGATTACTGTAGTGAGAACCACTGTTCACTTTAAAAGATGTGTGAATACAAGGTTTCGGTGACATTCATAAGTCCAGCAAATGACGATGTTGACTTTAACAGACTAAATTAAGTGTATTTAATTTTCAGTCAACCCGGACAGCTTGATTGAAAATCAGGGGCATCTGGTTTACATCTGGACGTGTGTTTAGGTCCGTCACAATAACACATTTTGCTGGACGATAAATTGGCCACAGACGTTATTGCGATAAATGATAATATTGTTGTTTGGGACTGTTTCCCAGTAACATAATAGTAATTATATTACTGGGACATATAATTTCCGTTCTTGAATTACTTAACAGTAATTCAAGAACAGATTCTCCTAGGTCAGTAAACTTTGAATTCTAATGAACATTTAAACACTGGAACTGGAAGACATTTTAAATTTTCAAAATAAATAAATAAAACAACAGAAATAACAAATAAAATGAATAATAAAGTCTCTATTAAAAAAACCCTTTAAAAAAAGGGTTAATTGAGACCAAAGCAACAAATTGAAGACTTTTGTCATCCAGTTTTTGGTGGAGAGAGAAAAACAATAAATCATTCAAATGGAAATTATTGAGTTTGTTTAAATTTATCATGCGATTAATTGATTTATTGCTTATTGTGACAGGCCTAAAAGCGTTGCTTGTTTCAAGTGTGTGACGTGTGTCTGGAGCCTGGAAAACCTGAACTTTTGCTGCTGGACACTGAACTTCAACCAATCAGAAAGGCTCTGCTTTGTGACGTAGTGGTCTGTAGTTTGTGTCCTACCAGGAGACACAGGCACCGATGCTAGCTAGCAGAGCTGACGAGCTCTGACCACCTAGCTCGTCAGAGCGCAGCTGGGTGGCAAAACAGACCAAACTCACAAAACGTCTGACTTATCTGGTTAATTCAAATATTGCGCAGAGACCCCCGATAACGACATTTTCTTCCAGTCAGTGAATAAGCCAAGATGCTTTCCAGTATTTCCTCCACCATTGTGCAAAGAGACCAGGGGAGGGGGAAAAATGGCAAGATGTTCCTCCAAAATGTTCGTCTAGAGCAGGGGTGGCCAAGTCCAGTCCTCGAGAGCTACCATCCTGCAACTTTCAGATGCATCCCTGCTTCAACACACCTGAATCAAATGAATGGCTTGTTATCAGGCCTCTGTAGAGCTGATCCCGGTGTGTTGGAGTAAGGATACTTCTAAAACTTGCAGGATGGTGGCTCTCGAGGACTGGACTTGGCCACCCCTGGTAGAGCATTTTTGATGCTCGATATCAAGCGTCAGGCTTCAAAACGAACAGGCGTCAAAGTCGAGGCGTTTCGTGACTTTGATGATCGAAACGCGTTCGGTCTGAACGCAGAATTCACTAACTTGTTTGGCATGTACATTCACGTCCACAAAGCTACGCCATGAGTGAGTTGTATGTTCATCTTCACCACCGTTCCATTCTGCCTGAATCTGCAGCTGTGCATATGCTTGCATTTGTTTTTATTGAAAAATAGTGAGCAAAAATCTCACTGATTTCTGCATTTTCTGACACAGTTTGAGTAGAGAAACAAATAAAAAGCAGGAGCCCGGAACTGTTTCAATCAATAAACTTTCTTTTTAGATAAGTAGTTCCACATAAAAAAAAAAAAATTGCCTTCAGAAAGCTTTGGGATTTATTTTATATATATATTAAAAAATTAGAATTTGGATGCAGTTTAAGTGACTACAACCTACTCAGATTTATTAAGTTGTGGTCAATAAAATGGCACAAATTAATGTTACTCAATTAGTTAATTTAATGAAAACTAAAAAAAGTTTTAAAAGCAACGAGTTTGCATATATTTTTTTTTAAGTAAGGAGAACTAATTTGATTTTTCTGTATAACTCAGAAGCTGGATGAATATCCTGCACAGTCAAAGCCCATCAGTGTGTCTGTTAATTCTGCACCAGGCTGCTGGAAGGAAATTGTTCTTCTTCATCTCCTAATTTGGACTTTCTTATATTTCAGCTCCAGGACAGGGAATCTGATGCATTGCTGCTCACTTTGTGGTCATTTTTAAGACATTGCTCTACTGCTGCGAAGTCTGGTAAAGGGCCGTAAGGCTGCACATGTGAAAAGATTAGCTTTTTTCAACAACAAAAAAAAGAAAAAAATTACAGGGTAAAAGCATGTGCAGAGCCCCTGGAGGTACTCTTTCAAGCAAGTAGGTTTTTTAAAGGTCTCTACCTTTGGAAAAGAAGTCCTTCTAGTGCTCCGATGAAAGCCTTTCTTTCTATTGTTGGGTTTGTTTGTTGCTTTTAATGCTTAGTGTAAAATGTACTTTATTAAAAAAAAAAAAAAAAAAGAAACAAAAAACAAAGCCCCGGGTACAGCAGATTTACAAGAATGTTCATGTGTGGTGCCAGCATACTGCCTTTAAAAAGGCATTTGAACTGTTCTTTTTCCTGGATGGAATGATTGTATAATCTAAGTTCTTCTTATCTAATCCACACAGACTCAAATTATGTTTCATAGAAAGTTTCCCCATTATTATTTGAGTAAATGTCCTTAAACAAGTTGAAGAGAAGTTTTCTGTTTAGCCTGGTCTTGTCTTGGCACACTGGCTGGACATTTGACTCTTCATCTTACCAGAACTGTCCAAATCAATTTAAATGATTCAGTTTACAGGCACACACTCCTTTTAGACAGTTCATAACTCTTTGAGGGTTGGGACTAGTACAACAATGCAATGTTTTCTGCTTTATTTATCCCAAACTCAATTTTGTTGGTAATACACAGCTGTGTCCAAGTGTTAACTACTTACTGTATCTCTGAATCTAAACCTCAAAGGTCGTCTTCCTTTCCTCGTTGTTCTATCAGTGATGTTCCCACCAGTTCACACAGCCAACAGTCAACTTGACTCCTCCAAGCAAAAGTCTTAGAGTCAAAAAGCTCAGTCTTTGTCTCGTCTTATGTACTTTTCTCCAAAAGGTGTTTAGCTTTTCAAAGTGGGCAGCTGCAGATTTGAGTCAGGCTTGAAGGCGTCAGCACTGCTGCCTCGCACCAACAAGTCCCTGTGTTGGCTCTGGGTAACCCAACTTTATATTGACGTTAGATGTGAGGGTTTCAGTGCTTAGTTGTCTTGTGTTGCCCTGTGATGGACTGGCAGCCTCTGTCATTAGTCACCAGTTATGCACCAGCCCTGCGACCAAACAAGGATAAAGCAGATATAAAGATGGACGGGTGGCACAGATTATGAAACAAAGACGCTTTTCCTGGTTGGCACCCTCTGGTAGTCCAGCACCATCTAGTTTTAGATTAGCTTAAATATAGTTAGTTTTTGGTGTCCTGGATTGTTTCTGATCATTCCAACTGATTTTCTGTCCCCTGAGGATGACAACTAACCTCAGATAGTTGAGACTTGGACACAGTTTTTCCATGTTCTGATGGAGTTAGGGTCTCAGAACATTGTACCTACTGTCAAGCATGGTGGTGTTAGTCCCTCTTCCAACTTTCATCTCGCTTCATGTCAGGAAAAAGCAATTGATCTGAATTAGGTCTACCAATTGAGTAACAAAGGAAGGTCAAACAATTAGGACTATGTCAGCACCTAAGGCAACAAAAAGCTAAAAAGACTCTTATCCAAGTATTATTGACTGTCAACATTAACACATGATTAATCTAAAAAGTGAAATTTGTTAATATTACATATTGCAGATTAATTGTATTGACTGTTTTGACCTAAAAGCCTCCGTCGTAGTTCACAGCAGCGCGTTACGTTGCCTTGTAATGCCGAGCTGCAAACACAAGCGAGAAGACAAGCGAGGTGAGTCAGGCGGTTCGCTGAACACTAAATTTCGATTTTAAAAAACACCGCAGTAGACGTTGGGATGAATCCAAGGTGCTATGTACATATTGCAACGATGAATTATCCTTCCACCAAATCACAAGCAGTTCACGGTTAGCACTTCTAAATTAACATTTCAAACAAAATGACTCCTTTTAAACCGTCCTGAATAAGAAAACTTGGTAAACAGACATTTTTATATGCAAGTTTTTTGAAAATATGTCAAGTTTACAAAGCTGAACATAGTGATTAATTGTGATTAATCACAGCGCTAGAATGTAATTAGTCTGGCTAAACTTTTCAATCGATTGACGCCGCTGGTATGTATATAATTTGCGGTCTGCGTAGAATTAAGAATATTCACAATATATTCAAACTTGTGTTCCTAGTTGTACTTTACTGTTGAAGCTTTGAACACTGCAGATTTGTGAAAGCACTAATCTAAGTGTCTGTGACAGACGGGCAAAGTAATAGGACAAAAAAAAAAAAGAGTGCTTCAGCTAAAGGGAAGCGGGAGCCATCTGGTGAAACGTGGTCTGGAAGGAGCTCAACCAATCAAGACCTTGCCCTCAGCTGCTGAGGCAGAGCGTACGCCGAGACTTTAACACGGACACAGATCGGTCTGTCAGCCTGAAGGTGAGCATTACACAATACACAAAGTGACAAGATGGAAAGTGACACGGAAAACAGATGTCGCCAGCAATGCAGAGAGACGCAGCGGGTGAAGATCAATCACGTCTTCTACGCTTTCATCACTGTTTTTTTTTCTTCAGGAAAGGAAACATGTATGGGCTTCTCTCTCTCTCTCTCTCTCTCTCTCTCACAGCCCCCAGAGATTTATTTGTAAATGTCACACTTGTCAAAACGTCGGCGGCTCCGTCTCCTGTGGATGCCGCATTATATGCGCTGGCAGATGCAAATTAGGAAATAACCCCGCTGCTTCAGTTTGGGTCTCTATGATTTTCTTGGTCATCTGCAAACAAACTAATCCTAAAATTGAAATCTTCAACACAGTGTCCGTTTCGAATCGAGAACACACACGAACCGGCGTTTGGATTTAAAACAAAAAACAAAACACACACACACACACAGATGTTACAAGAGCCGCTGTGCTGTGTGTAAGCAGACAGGCAATATCCAGTCACTTATAAAGCACATTTCGTTTTGTCTCTCATTAAAAATATTTGCCTGGATGAAACCAATCTGTCTTTAACCGACTGTGACCGAGTCATCTGTCCTAGGAATTAGTTTTTTTTTTTTTTTTTTGTAAATCCCAACAGAGAGAAGGCTTTTTTTAAGAGAACACAATGCAGACATACAGCTCTTCTTAGAATTGTCTTGCCTCTCAGTGGCCACAGGAAAAGCTGCTGTGACCTGTTTGTCCATCACAATCATCACCATGTTTTAACCCCAAACCGGTTTTCTAATTCAGGCCGGTATCAGGGTAGCAAATGCTTGAGCGGTGGAATAAAATATTCATCAAAAAGTGGAAGTAAAAGTAACATTAAAGCAGTGAATAATTCTTCAAAAACAATATAATTCCATTCTGGCACTTTTTAAAACTGTTAAATTATGGTTACCTCAACATGTCCTGACATGTCAGAGAGAGGAAATGTTCTACAGACACGTTTTCCAGAAGTTTTCTCGACATAACGGCTTAATTTTCCACTGGTTTTCTCGAGATAAGCTAAAAGCGAGAAAAACTTTGTTTTCCCAAAATAAAAGTTTCCAATGGTTTTCTTGAGATGAGTTAATTTCCCAGTGGTTTTCTATATAACGAATTAATTTGCCAATGGTTTTCTAAAGATAACAAGTCAATCTTCCGAGGGTTTTCTTGATAAGTTAATTTCCCAATGGTTTTCTCAATAAGTTAATCTCGAGAAAACAAACTGTTTTCTCGATTTTCTTGAGATAATGAGTTAATCTCAAAACAAACTTTTTCTTGATTCCTTCTCTTTATCATTATCTCGATGCCTTTGCGCCTGCCACAACAGGATGCATTTGAAAGATGAAATCAGGTTTAACACACGCGCGCACACACGCCAATCATCTCATTATCTCGAGAAAACCCATCAGAAAACAGTAAGCGAAAAATGGCTTAGTTGCCAAGGGCTTATAATTTTCAACATGTTAACATAAAACAACAAGATTTAATGCGTTTTTGGTCAAATTATTTATAGATGGTCAAAACTGTTAATATCAGGCACATAGAGAAAATTCCTTCTGTCACATGACCGTCCGGTTTTTGGCAGGTGAATTTCTCCTTAAGAACTATAACATAAGAACACCATTAAAATATATTTCTCTAGCTTTTGCTTTCATGAGCGATCATTAAGTTATCAAGGTAACACTTTATTTGAAGGGGGTTGAATAAGACTGTCATGACACTGTCATAAACATGACATAACACCTGTCATGAACATGAATAAGCCTTCATGAATATTTATGACTGTTGTCATAAAGCGTCATTCGGTAAATTATGACACTTTTAATACAAAGTTGACATTATTCAAAATGTCTGTTATGACAACTTGACATTAACCAAGAAATCATTACTGATATAAATTTGTTATAAAATAATTACTGATTGCACTTTAAAAATTAGGTAACTTTATGTTATTAAAGGTAAAGTTTAAACAGTAATGATTTCTTGGTTAATGTCAAGTTGTCATAAAGACATTTTGAATAATGTCAACTTTGTATTAAAAGAGTCATAATTTACCGAATTACACTTTATGACAACAGTCATAAATATTCATGAAGGCTTATTCATGTTCATGACATGTGTTATGTCAGTCTTATTCAACCCCCTTCAAATAAAATGTTACCGTTATCAAAATTAGAAACCGTGTCATACCACTGTCAGAGAGCCGCTGCTGTAGAACAGCTTTACTGAATGGACTGAACTTATACTGTGCTTTTCTTGTCAGGCTGACCACTCAGTGATTTACAGTTTGATCTCATCCACCCAGCCACTCCCATAAATTCATACGCTGGTAGAATGGTAGACTGGTAGGTGAATTTTTTCATGGTTTCTAACTCAACCATGAGTTAGAAAGACAAACTGCTCTTCTGACAGGATGATTTAAAGCAGGTTTGTATATGAAACTAAATTATAACATAAAATAACATAAAACACATATATATTGGAAAATACAAAATAAATATTTCTAGCATGTAGAATGGTAGCAGCTTAGGTAACAATAAAGTCAGCCTCCAGGTGTAAAGTCTAGAGAATGTAGGTTCTTAGTGTAACTTGAAATCTCAAGTTGTTTGAGTTGTTTTTTTTTGTCATTTTTTTTGTGTTCCTCAATTTTTTTCTATTAGTTCCGCTTCGTTTCCATTTCCACTTAAGTTCTTCCTTAGTCAGTCTGGTTTATTTCTTGTTTCTATTTGCTCTTAGTCTCTCCTCTTTCCTTTAGTTGAGTTATTGTTTTATGTTAGATTCATTTCCTACTTCCCTCTGTACTCTCCCTCGCCCCCCTGTGCCACATCTCTCTCTCTCTACCTCTCCTCAGTCTGCCTCCTGCTCTCTTCACTCACACCTGCAACCTGTCAGCAATCAGCCCGGTTCCTTTGGCCCACCATTCAACCTCCCAGTATTTAAGCGCTGCATTGTCAGTCACTCCTTGCTGGTTCGTCCAGCCTCTTCCTGTCATTTCCATGCGATCTCCTGGTGTCTCCTGCTTGTCTTTGCTTTGGATTTATCCTGTGTTGTCTGGATTTTCACATTTGTAAGTCGGCTTCTTATTTATTCATTCTTTGGAGCCAAGTCTCGACAAGTCAACAAAAGGTTTTCTTACATTTGTAGTGGAAATGTGGCTCCTCGGTTGTTCATGTTTTGTGATGGCTCGTCAGACCTGCTGTTCTCCAGTGAGTCGTTCCCTAGACGCATTAAGACCATCAAAACGGTGGACGGAGGTGAAGTTGCTGAGCAAAGTTACTTCAGTCAGAAGAATGTGGATATTTTCCATGTGGTCTTAGTGAAATGAAAAAAACATAGTCAGGCAGATAAGCAGTTCTGACGGATTTAACTGATCAGTTCATCGTAGGGGTCAGCTGCACTGTCTTGAGTCTTTTACCTTCACCGAACTGAAGAAAAGAAAGTCGAGAGAAGAAGCACCAAAAGGAATTGGAAGTGTTTCCATTTTGCTGCAGCACTCAAGTCTGAAATCTTGCTATCAAATAATCCCCTTTGATGCCAAATATGTACAGGGCTTTGTGAGCAGCAGGGGGCCAGACACTCAGGATGATTCAGAGTGTGAGGGCGTTGGAGTTCAGCCTTCAGCCTTTATCCCCAGCTTTGACAGACAACACTTCCAACGAATCCGTAAGTCGTCTGATCTGGAACGGGCCAAACAACGGCACTAACCGTCGTGAGCCGCGGCTTTTTGTGTTCTGAAGCTCCTGGCTCTAAATATTTCACTTGTTCAGTTGATTCAGTCTTTATTTTTCTAGTTTCAACCTTTTGTTCCATCAGTTTCAAGTGTCCAGATTCCCGGTTAACATTTCTCACACTTTGTATCGTGTAGAACTGGTTCTTTTATGTCTCTGTTGCATTTATTTTTCTGCGCTCCTTCATCAGGCTGGTCTCTCCAGAGTGGGGTTCAGTTGGTTTTGTGTCTGTGAGCTCGTTACCTATTGGCCCACTTTGGATCAAGTACATTTACTGTCCTGCATTGCCTTTTATTTTTTTCTACTTTATGTAAACCAGCTGCGTGTTTCTGCATTGGTAAGCTCTTGGCAAGTTTTAAACTATGATTTAAACAAAATGTAAAAAAAAAAAAACAAAAAAAAAACAAAGAGAGAGAGAGAGATTTTGCTGCTGCAAACTATCCGTCCTACTTTATAGATGCTTCATAATTGAACAGATGTTGTTCAGTGGCTTTTAATGGTTTTATGGGCATCTGCAAAGAAAATATGTCTGTTTTTTTCCCTTCTGACACATTCCAACACTTCCAAGAACACATGGGACTCAACTGTCTTTTTATATGGGAGATCTTTGCCGAATTCCATTATTGTTGTTGTTTTGTTTTTTTAAAATCATTTTAAAAAACAAACGAAAGCTTTATAAAATAAAAACCTCTACGTGACGCTCCGATTGGTCAAAGAAAAGCACCAGGAACAGAGAAAAGGATATGAGCCATTTCATAAAATCCATTCATAATAGATAAAAGATATTACAAATGAGATAAATTACAAATTGTGTAACTTAATGTCTATTATGAGACAGATTTAAATTTGTGAGCTCCAAATTAAAATATGTTAGGTAAAAGTAAAAAAATATTTTTTTTTCTACCTTATTAATGTGACGTATGAGAATGTCAACATTCTCACATATGAACAAAAGGTATTTTGCACAGCAGATATAGATTTTTTATTTATTTTTTTGCATGATATAGCTATAGTTTTACCTTCCGTGTTCAAAGATTTGGAGAATAAAGTGAAGAAATGGGCTCTGATTACCTACACCAGCACATTTAGCTGCTTCGTTAACTCCATTGTTAGGGACAAAAAAAGAAAGCTGTGAATAACTTTAAAAAGTTCTGAGGCGCTGCAGGCGAATGAGCTGATATTTGTGGAACATAAAATCACATCCCAGTCGAGTCTTACTACTTTGCGGTAAAAGTTCAAGCCATTACTGACTGAAGTAAACTTTTTTTCTTCAGATACAAACTTATCTAGTCCAGCTATAACACTACATGACACTAGGTTGAGAGTTGAGTTCCAATATTGTTTGTTGAATTTGTCAAATGTAACAGTAATTTTAATATTGTAGATAAAATAACCTAATCTTTAATTCAACATGGAAAGAAGTTAACTATTTTTGAACGTTTATAAAGTGTAACATTTGCTCTGTTAGAAAAATAAATATGCATTCACGTTCAAAGAAAATCTAAAAAGATGATCAGCTCTTAATTTTGAATTTATGAATAAATCAAAATGCTTTTGATTTGACCTATTTAATCACTTGAACACCAGTTGCTACATGTGTTCATATTGTCTATTTTTCTTTGCTTTGCTTTGAGTCCAAATTTTAAAGGGGCAGATGTAAGTAGTTTCCATTTTATAGTACGATCAAGGATGCATGTTAACTTCAGCTGTTATGACAATGCATACTACTTTAAAGAAATTTGACTTTGAAATTGAACGCCTTGAAATTGGGCCTCTTGTCTCTGAAGCTCCTACTCTGTCTGAAGCTCCGCCTTCAGGAAGTCATTACAGCATGGCTCCTCTGACTCTTTATTGACGTTTTTACAAGTGTTTCACTGAGAAGTAGCTCGTATCATGAGCTCAGCTGATGCACAGTACCACCAGGTGTTTGCTGATTGCTGCTGGCTAGTCTGAAGGAGCCGAGTAGGGGATTCACAGGAGAGGGCTGCTCTGAATAGAAATGAAATAATTTCTCTAAACAAGCAGGGAAGAATCAAGGCAACATCCAGGTATCTTTTCAGTGAGGGAATAACAACATAGCATAATGTAAAGCTCAAAAAAGTTGATTTCATGTAATACTCCCAACTTCAATGATTTTTTGGAAACCTTGTTCTAAGTGTCATGAAATATGTTCCAATGACTGCTATAAACTACACAATGAGAGAGGGAACAGGAACAGGAAGTGATGAAGCAGCTGTCTTAACAGCAATGGAAAAAAAAATCTGTCATGGTCGGTGTGCGAGTGTGAACGGTGCGATTCAGAAGACAACTTCCTGTTGCCTTCCTCAGCGTTTCCACCAGCAGTAACATTCGGTTGTTGATCATGTGACTCATGTGATGCAAACAAAGTGTTCCCATTCCAGTGGAACAAAATACATCTATTTACTAGGCTGAAAAGCCACCTTGTCCCAGTGTCCAGTGTTTGTATTGCCAAACGTGAGCTTTTTCAAACTTGCCGTGTTTCAACGAAGCAAATTTATTTTCGGAATTTTACTTTGCGCAACTCTACAGTCAGTGGAAACAGCTGTCATCACCTCCAAATTCTCCTTAATTACCTCAACTCCAAGTTATTTGAAAGGTTTTCTCAGCAACAAGAAAACTTAGAAGACAGAGGTGTTCTAAGGACACTGCTGTGGAGACCCAGCTCCTGTACAATAAAAGTTCTTAATCGACCAAAAACTCCTTGATTTCTGTAAGGATTTCCTCCATCATGTGGGTCTGAAAACTTAACTCTGGCGCTGTTGCTGTGACTGTGTCGGAGGAAAGCCAAGCTGCTTTTGTTCTGAAGTTACCCAAAGTTGCCTGATATATCATTCAAATGTGTGGTCATTATAATGAAGCTAGTGCTAACATGAATAAAATTGCTATAAGCAGCCCACGCTCTGTAAATGTCAATGGCTTATAAATCAAGCTCAACCTTTCACAGTAAAATTTGAGCAGGTGGAACATCCCGTTCAGAGCTAAAGTTTGTAGCTTGGAATAAAGATTTTTTTATTGGACTCAAGTCTTGACTGTCAAGTTTAAGTCAAAACAAAAGTTTTCGGGGTTTTTCGCAACTGGATCGGAGTCCAAAAGTTTGCCTACCATCATACTTGGTGCTACATTTTTGTTTTTTTCTTCTCTCAGGACCGTTTCAGCGGCGCCACAATGCGAGTCAAAGACTTTCCTCTGTAAGCACGAAAGAAGCAAATACCCAGTTTTCACCGCTTGCTTCAAATTTTGATTCATCTGCTAAATTTCTCTTGGCTTCTTGTTTGTAGTGGATCGGAAACAGAACCACCAATTGAAAGAAGAACCCAGCTTCACTTTGGATGAATGTTTGGCACACCTTAGTTTAGTCCTTCTTAAATGGAGCAACTTGGAACACCACTGAAGTAACCCAGGTACTTTTTTGTAAGAGTTTAATTATCATAACAGACAAAAAAAATAAAATAAATGTAGTTACCTGATCAATAAAACTAATAAAACAATACCTATTTGTATTGGGCATATGCTACGCAAAATAAATAAACACAATTACCATAACAAAGTAATGAAATCATAAAAATAAAGTCATAATAATGAGAACAATCGTATTTTGAGAATAAAGTTACTACTGCTACTTTATTCTTCTATTATTTCAACTTTATTCTTATAAT